TTTTGAGGAATAATAACATTTTTAAAATTATTTTCCTCATATTAGTCTTTATTACGATCTCGAGATGCAAGGAGTAGTTAGACGAGCTCTAGAGGTGCCCAAACTTATTGCCATGACAACTTTTTGAAGTTGTATACAGGAAAAAGATACCAAACAGAAACTAGTGGATTCCATGAGTTGGGAAAACAGACCTGAGAGTCCAGGAGACCAAGATGATGAGAGTTCATAGAATCAAGTACTGGAGAGGGAAGAGCTTCAAGCAGAACCATGGAGATGAGCATAGCCCAGTTTCGGTACTCAGAAAATAACCAAAAATATGGCTAATAAAGTGGCAGGGATAGGTCCACAAATATTAATAACAGCATTGAATGTGAACAGATAAAATTTTTCAATTAAAAGATACAGACTGGGAGCCAGCAAGTGACATGGTGGCTAAGGTGTTGGACTCCCATGTGGCTGACCATGGTTTGAGTCCTGGACATGGCTTGCTCTCTCTCTCTCTCTCTCTCTCTCTCTCTCTCTCTCTATCTCTGTGGTGAGTATATGTAACCTATGGCAAATTTAAAAAAATAATAATAAATTAAATTAGATAATTAATTCTACCCAAAATAAAAGACACAGAATGGCTGAAATGCATCTCACTGAAAGTAAAGGACTTAAAAAAGATATTCTATTCAAATGGAAATCAAAAAAGGTTGAAGTTATGATACTGATATCAGATGAAATAGATTTTAACACAAAAACCATAAGAAGAGATAAAGAAAGGCATTATATATTAAAAGGGTTAATACACCAAGAAAATATGAGACATAAATATCTATGCACCCAACGTTGGTACACCCAGATATGCAAAGGAAAGACTATTAAGTTTAAAGGGAGAAATAGACTGCAACACACTAATTGTTGAAGATCTCAACAGCCTTCTGTCTCCTCTGGACAGATCATCTAGATAATAAAATAAATAAAGAAGTACAGCATCTAAAGAATGCCGTATTATCAAATAAACCTAAGAGACAGCCATAGACCCTTCCACCCAACAAACACAAAGTTCACATTCTTCTAACCCCCACATGGAACATTTTCAAAGATCTTCTCTTGGGATCTTGGGCACACATGCACACGTGGCTGGCGTGAGTTTTAAGCCACCAGCTCCGGGACGCGAACCACAGTTGACTACATGGGAGTCCAGCGACATAGTCATTATGTTAACTGCTGGTCCCTTTATGCATGTCTTTGAAGTTCCCTTGTACAATAAGGAAGCTGTTCCTCTGTCCCATCTCATTGTCTTCCACAAGCTGCCACCATATGCTCTTCTTTCTGAGTCTGTATCTCTTATTCTCTGTCTGGTTCTCTCTCTGTGTTCCTCCCTCTTAAAACCATTGGACTGTGCAGATGACTCACACATCTTGCTTTCTCTCACCCATCTAAAATTAAACTACATCACACTGTTTCATATGACAGTTTAAAACACCACAGATGTTACAGAAACGACCAATATCAGCTTCTTTTCTTCCCTGAAAATTATGTTTCACTGTGTGCCAAAACCCAGCAGAGGGCATCCTTCCATCTCAGATGCGTGAACAGTACAGGGGAAAGATTCTACAATCCGGGCAGTGTTTTCCATTTACAATGGCACGTGGAAATTTGAATAAAGGGGCTCTTGCCCTAGGAGGGGAATTTGTCATGTAAGTTGTCATGGAGTTACACAATTACAGATTTAGAAGTAATCCTTGCTTTATAAGAAAAAAAAAAAAAAGGTGGGGTGAGAATCTCTGTTTCTGGACTCTGTCCAAGGCTGAAGCATTATTTTGAATTACAGGAGCAGCAAAGTTGCTACTTTATGATATTTCCTTCTCTAGGCTACCCCGAGTTTAAATAGTAATCACAGAGATAAAGCCATTCAGAAGAAAATATGTTCCCTGTCTCATTTATCTATTGTGTTCTCAAACTAGAAGACAAATAATAGGGCAGGCATTACACCTGCTAAATTGTCTTGAAAACAGGAAGAAGATACAAGGCTCCATCTATTGGGTCAGAACAGGAGTGGTCAAGAGTAGTTCATGGAGGGAAGCCAACCTCATTGTACCTGTGTAAGCAGGTGGTTGCCATCTCTTCTTTTTTTTGTTGTTCACTTTTTTTAATTTTTTATATATATTCAGTCATATTATTTAGCTTACAAAGTGAACTTTTCAGTATGTGAACATTTCTCCCCAGTCCAGTTGATCAGAGTATCTTCCACCAATAACAACACACCTCCCCATCCCATCAATGCTCTGTCTCCGTATCCCTCCTCCAAATGTCCTTCCTTAGGTCCCTCTTCTCCACACACTCCACTTCTGGCACTAACCCCCATCTCTTGTATTTGTACAACCTTAGGTCAATCAGTTTCAATTATGGAGTGCAGACACTTGGTATGTATTAAGTGGGGACATACAGTGTCTCTCCTTCATAACCTACTCTTGATTATAGATTCTTACAGAAATTAGAATTCCACGAGAGTAATAATTTACATTGCCAGTATTTTCTGAGTTACAGGGCAAATGTCCAGAACCCTTAAAAGTCTCTTTCTTTCGTGCATGGTTGAGTTAATCAGATCCTCTCTCTCTTTTTTTTTTTTTTTTTGGAGAGATTTTAGCTATAGGGCATGTGCGTTTGCTAGACAGACAGAGAGAGACAGAGAGATAGAAAGCGAGAAATCACCCCCCAGGGGGAATGACCAAACCACAATCCCTTCTCCTCCATTCTCCTCTCGGGATCTTGGGCACGCACGCACACGCACCCGGCGTGAGTTTTAACCCACCGGGTCCGGGACACAAACTGCAGTTGACTACATGGGAGTCCAGCAACATAGCAATTACGCTAACTGCTGGTCCCATCACCAGATCCTCTCTTTACAAAAGGATGTTTTAGGAGGAGCAGGACAGAAGATAAGGAGGCAATAGAATTCATATAGCCAATCCATGGAGGTTTAGTTGAGGACCTACTTCATGCTAAGCTCTGTTCTAGGTGCTAAGGCTATTTAAGCAGACAGTCCAAGATCCCCTTCCTTGACATGATGTGTCTGGGAGCAAGAGTTTAAGGAGTAGTAACAGAAAGACCTAACCTTGAGTCCTGGCCTTGCTACTTGGTCAAGTATATCCCTGAGAACAAAGGAATTAATATTCTCTTCTGCAAAACAGTGATATTAGTATTTATTTTAAAACATGTTTTGTTCCAGACATAAAAAATAAGCACTTCTATATATTACCTCATAGAATCCTCTTAAGGAGCATGCCATACCAGAGTTGATTTCTAAGGCTATCCTGAGGATTAAACAAGATGCAGGCATCAAATTCAGTGTAGTCTAGTGTTATTACTAATATTTTTATCACCATTATTACTGCTGTTGTTATAGTTTTTTGGGATCAAAGGGTTTATTTTTATTTATTTATTTATTTATTTATTTATTTATTTATTTATTTCCTCCATTATCCTCTCGGGGTCTTGGGCACTCACGCACACGCACCCTGCGTGAGTTTAAGCCACCGGGCCAGGGACTCAAACCATGGTTGACTACTTGGGAGTTCAGCGACATAGCCATTACGCTAACTGCAGGTCCCAAAGGGTTTTATGTTGAAATACACTAACAAGTGGATCAAGACTTCAGATCACAGGGAACCAGCAGTTAGCATAATGGCTATGTAGCTGGACTCCCACGTAGTCGACCATGGTTTGTGGCCCGGACCCGGTGGCTTAAAACTCACGCCGGGCACATGTGCATGCGTGCCCAAGATCCCAAGAGGAGAATGGAGGAGAAGGGATTGCGGTGTGACCATCCCCCCTGGGGGGGTGATTTCTCGCTTTCTATCTCTCTGTCTCTGTCTGGCGAGCGCACGTGCCCTATAGCAAAAAATCTCTCCAAAAAAAAGAAAAGACTTCAGATCACAGTTCCTATACTTCAGAATGTACTATCTGCCCAGTTCTGGTGAAAAATAAGATTGTATAATATCAGAGCTATTGAATTACAGCTTCTCTGTATCTATCTTGCCATAAGAAGACAGACTGCCTCTAAAAAATACACCTGTAGACTGGATATGAGAAAATAGATTCCCTAAAACAAAACATGAGCATCTCTTGCTCTACATTTTTCTAACTTCCCCCTGAAAGCTGAAGGTTAATACCATATGCTAAACAAAACCAAGACCCTGGGTCTTCTTGGTGGTTTCAATCACTTCCTTTGTCTGTGATAAGTGATTAGATGGTCAGCTCCAACCCTTCAATGCTGTTGCCCTCTGGCTCTCTGCTCTCATTTTTCCTCAAGTGCACTCTCGAGAAGCCTCTTCTTGGGCTTCTTGTACATCAATGGGTGTTAATTATGCTAACAATATTATTCAACGAGAAACAAAACAGGCATGTTTAAGTGCTGTGCTGGGCATTCTCTGTTGACTGTAAGTCTGGGCATTCTCTCTGTTTACTGTAAGTCTGAATTTATGTCTCCCACTACTGCACTACCAATATCAAGAATAATTACAAACAAGAAACAGATACAATTCTGACTCCTGGCCCCGTTTCTTGTTGATTTCATTTCAGGGCTGTCATTTTAGGTTCATGATGTAGGAAACCGAGTGTTCAGGAATGGGGTATAAGTGAATTCATATACGTAGACACAGATATATTTTATAAATATTCCATTTTTCTTGCACTAAAAAATAAATATTTTAATCCCACATGTCAAGTGTCACCATGCAAGGCTCAAGTCAATTGAACATTAAAAAATTCATTCGTGTTCAAAAAGGCAGTTTCATGCTGACTTTATCTTACCGTACTTCTGTGGGGATGAACACTGTAGTGACACATTGTTTGAGATAGAAATAAGTGCTTCCCTTTGGTTGGAGCTCCAAAAGAAGAGCAAGCACTCTGGTAGTTGTGTTGCAAGTTACCTGGTCATAGAGGCTTGTAGATTTCTGCCAACACTAGTCGGACGCCATGGAAAGGGAGATTTTCCTTTGCAGAGTACTTACCCCAAGATAATGGCCATCGATGAACACCACAGGGAGGGAGGGTGCTTCGGAAACTCGTCGACATCGTTCATCTAACTCTTTCCATATTCACCATTCAGAGCGATGTTCTTCTCTTCAAATTTGACACGATGGTTCTGGAAGATCTTTCTAACCAGTTCGCATCTTTCAAAGGTTGTCCTGACCACACGAAGGCAAGTGGTATAAATCACTACGCGGTCAAATTCTAGGTCAGCTGAGGGTTGCTGAAGGGAAAACATCACAGCATAAATATGCGTGCTCTTTTTCTTACGTCTTAACTAGTGTAAGACAATCAATGTGCTTTAGCGAGTGTCTTATACATGAAAGACGTGCAATAAAAGTTGAATGAGCCTCTTATTTGTCTATTATGAGACATGACTTTTTATTTTATTTATTTTTTTGAGAGTTTTTTTCATCATATGCTGGGTGTGCTTGCCAGACAGACAGAGAGAGACATAGAGACAGAAAGCGAGAAATCACCCCCCAGGGGAGATGGTCACACCGCAATCACTTCTCCATTCTCCTCTCGGGATCTTGGGCACGCACGCACATGCACCCGGCGTGTTTTAAGCCACCGGGTCTGGGACGCGAACTGCGGTCGACTACATGGGAATCCAGCGACATAGCCATTACGCTAACTGCTGGTCCCTCTATCTGCCTCTTGATCCCACAGTAAAATGTGCCAGAGAATAGTCAAGGTTAGTATTGAATCAGTTGAAAATCCTTCCACCTTTCAGTTTACCAAGTTTCATGGTCTTTTGCTCCATGATAACAAGACCTATGTCGTAGGATTATTCTGAGTTTGCATAGCATGGACTCCTTCAAATGACACTGCACCAACATGCGGTAGGAAGACTCTGCCACAAAAAAAGGAAAGATTGAATGGTTCCGAATGGGAATGTGCAGAAGCCAACACCGAAGTGAGCAATGGGTCAAAGCCAGGCTTAAAGAGAGAACAAGGAGTCAGACACGTGGAGCAGAAGCAAGACTGAAAACCAAAATGAAGACTGTCCTTTGTGAGGCTCTTTTCCTAGGTTTCCTGCTAAATCAGAAATCAGTGACAGCTTTCCAGGAAGACCCTACCAGCACTTCTAGAATGAGCTCAAGGGCCATGCCAGTCAGGTCCTGACAAGACAGGAAAATTCCTCCCTCTTACTTAAAGGAGATTGAACAGAATACAACTAGACCCTAAGACCAAGGGATACTTGAGTCTTCCTGGGGCTACAGTGTTAAAGACACTACCATACAACTTGCAAAACCTCTGTGAAGTCAAAGCATTAATTATAAACCATTCCAGGGCATTAAATACTAAAGTTAGTCAGTAGAACACTAAACTCCATCACTTTGAACTAAGATCAGAAGGATTAGGAGGAATTAACTGTTTGAGACTCTTCAATGGTCATGTCTTGAAACCCGAAGAAGGAAAAAAATCAAACAGAACGAAGTGATTCTAAATAGGGATGCAGGGTTGATGTATTTTGTGGCCACTTTAAAGATCTAGGGACTTTAACCTGAAAGCAATGGGAAATCTCTGAAGGTTTTAAAGAGGGTGGGAGGGCTTGCATTGAGTCATGCTTACGTTTAACAGAGATGGGTGAAGACCAGCGAACGCAGATGCTCAATGTACAAACCCAGGCAGCGTCACTAGCAGCAGAGTTTAAATAAGTGTTTCCCCAGGGTTGTGCAGTACATGCTTCAGCAATCCCACTCAGTCTCACTGCCAATTCTCAGCCTGGGGACTGAGACTGAATACGAGCAAATTCCAGGTTGGAAGTATGACTATATTCTATTCAGTAAAATGTTCTTTAAAAGATCTTATTACAAAAGTTTTTGGCATGGTTTGGAAGTCGTTTTCCTAGAGATGGTGGTAGGTTGAATGACTTTTCAAGGTCTTCACTAGTTTTGTGATATGAGTTTTTCAAGTTTATTCACTTACTTCTTGGTGGATGGGTGGGGAGAAAGAGAATCCCCTACAAGGTTTTTATGCTACAATCAACCCCCAATCCCCCCAGCCCAGATCATGGGTCCAAGCGAACACCTGGTCCACTCAGGGAGCACACAAACCCAGGGCCTTCTTCATGTGGGTCCAGTTATGTTACTACTGCCTTACCACTTGGCCTCTATAATACAAATTTTAACATACAGTGCCTTCGGCCAAAATAAATAAATCCTCTTCTACATTTGTTTCATTTTATTTCTCCCCATAGATTTGTCAAAGTATCTCACCAGAAACCTAAAACTAGCCTCTAAATGGTTCACTGTCCCTTCTCTCCCTTAAAGAGCGTTACCATGGGAAGAGAGTCGAAGGATAGAGGCGTCTGAGAGAACAGAGACGTCATTGTGATTGTCGGAGCCTGCTGGATCCTGTGTAGCCTGCTGGTTCTGAGAGAGCCCGCCGAGGAGGTAACAATGGCTGACAAGTTCTTCCATTCTGTTGATAAACAAGATGGGGCTTAGGGGATGCCTGGAAGCCTTACAACAACTTGCAGTAGATGCAGATGGAATGGAAATTGCTATGAACATGACCAGGGGACAGCCAACCAGCCTGTGCTCTCAACTTGCACTTGGTTCTGCAATAGCCACTGTGAGACAATTAGAACTTCAGTCACCTGGCCATCTCGGTACAGTTCTGGAGCCTCTACACTCCCTGGAACCTCTAGAGTTCAGGCCAAGAATTAGTCCCCAACGCTGCTCTGTGTATAATCCTCATGGAGCAGGCCCAGCTAATCATGTGGGAGTGAATCCAACAGGCTATTTCCACTTTCCTCTTTGCCCAGCCTTGCACTGGTTTGAAAAGGCTTCCTGCAAGAGTCCTTCTAACCTTGCCCCAGTGTTTCCAAATCATCAAGAAATTAACAGCTTCCTAGAAAACCCCAGGAATTCAGGTTTTAAGCAACTTTTTTTTTTTTCAAACAAACAAAACATAATGTTTTGAACATCAGTGGCAGGCACAACGCTAATAACTTTATATTCATTTCATCTTCACAGTAACTTATGTGATGTTACTGTCTTTATTGATTAAGCAAGAAAACTAGGTTCAAAAGGAGGAGTATCTTAGAAAAGGAAACAGAATTAAAATTCAGCAAAGTTGGCCCTGCTCATAGGCTGTTTGCTAAGAGAGTTGGATAGCCAGCCAGGGCTGGAATCCCAGCTCAGTGGTGAGACACACTCTGGGTGTACATGCATCATATCTGCCCCAAATGCCAACAGAATGCAGAAGATGAAGGACTGGGATTGTGATATGACCATCAATGGTATGACCTTGACAGGGGAGTGCTTTCTCCCTCTCCCTCTTGCTCTGTCTCTCTGTCTCTCTCTGGTAGGTGTGTTCACCCTCTGGCAATTACAAAACATTTTTTTTTTTTTTTGCTATAGGGTGCGTGCGCTCACCAGAGAGACAGAGAGACAGAAAGCGGGAAATCCCCCCCCAAGGGGGATGGCCACACTGCAATCCCTTCTCCTCCATTCTCCTCTCGGGATCTTGGGCACACACACACACACACACGCACCCAGCATGAGTTTAAGCCACCGGGTCCGGGACTCGAACCGCTGTTGACTACATGGGAGTCCAGCAATATTGCCACTAAACTAACTGCTGGTCCCAAAAAACATTCATTAAAGTTAAAAAACTAGAACCCAAGTGCACACCCTTCCTAAAGTCATGCTTCCCACTGAGCAGAGCAGAACCACTGAAGCACACTGTGCTCTTTCTTGGTACTCCCTCCTCAGGATAGTGGTTGAATCACACACTGCTGTAGACCTAGTTTATTTCCCTTAAAAAAACGACTGTAATTTAAAAGGTGTGCCCGTTTAAGTAAATGATGCCCCTACATTTTTAACAGTAAGTTAAACAAGGGACATTTTAAACAATCCTTTTATTTTTTTCAGTCTAAGGAGGTTTCTTTGAGATAAACAAGAAGCAGAGATCTGTTTTCCCACTTCCTGAAGGCAAAGGCGCAAATCGATTGGCTCAGAACCATCCAAATGTCAAAAGGCAAACTGGGACGAGGTCCAGATTCTCCAATGATCAGGCTGTCCAGCCTGGCCCCAGGAGCAGTAACATTAAATGACAGGAATACGTGGTGGAAGCAGGTCTTTCAAAAAGGGCAAGAATGTTATATATATGACTCTCCCCTTCATGCTACTCTATAAACCTTTGTAGTTAAATGTGGGTTATTTGATGCTTCTTAATATTAAATGTAAATGAATTCGTCAATCATTGTTCACTTTGTTCTCAAATAACCTCTTGAATTTTCATTTTTTCACTTAAAGTGATGGGTAAACCCCCTTTCTTCCCACCAGATTCCTTTCTGAGCTTATTTCTTACATCCATTTCCATTCTAACCACATACGCTGTTCTGTTCCAAAGGTGAATGATGATTCTTTGTCTTGTTTTTCCTTCTTTTTTTTTTTTTCATTGCCAGAGAGCATTGTCCAGAGAGACAGAGAGAATGCATCTCCACCCCATGAGGCATGGTCATGCTATGACCTTCCTTCCTCCATTCTTCCTTTGCATCAGGATTTGGGGCCTATATACACACATTCAAGGGTGTTTTTCAAGCCGTCAGGACTGGGATCGAAACCCCAGTTGGCCATATGGGATCTGATTCCCTGTGTTCAATACTTCACCACAACACGGAGGGGCACCTCATGAGTGGATATTTCTACATCGCATCCTCCTCCCCACACATTAACCACAAAACCCCAAGGGAAACTTCTCTATGTCCTTCTATAAGAGCCAACTTACAAGAATAATTGTGGCATTATTTATCACATGACTAGTACATATTTATGTGCAATTCTAGGGATCTGCAAAAGAGAGTTTACATGTGAAATTTTCACTTATCATAAATGATAAAGATTATTATGCAGACAAGGAATTGAAGGCATAGAAATAAACTTAAGGTATTCAAATAACTTGGCAGGGGTGGGGGGACAGAACAGAACCTGAGGTTGACCCTAGATTAACCTCCAAAATACTTAACCTTTCCTTAGAAAAATCCTTAAATACAAATGGCCAAAGGGCCACACTGTTCTAAAACTAATGAATTGCACCATGAAGGGATAGACATAAAAATTCCTTTGCTTATCTCTGCACTTCATACTAATTTCTGGTTAAGGTGCCAGCAGGTGATGTAGAAGTTAAGGTGGTAGACTCTCACATGGTGAACCATGGGTCGAATCCCAGACCTGGTGTCTTGAAACACACTAGGCATGTGTGCATGCATCCCAAAATCCCAAGAGGAGAATGGAGAGGATGGTATTGAGGCATGGCCATCCCCCCAAGAGGTAATTTCTTGCTTTCTGTCTCTCCTGCGAGCACACATGCCCTGCAGCAAAAACCACACAGAAAAAAAAGTCCTTGGGTTAAATGTCACCCTTTTAGGAAGTCCTTCCCTTGTCACCATATGGAATGGCCCCTCTGTCCTCTTTGCCAAGTCATTTCCTTTAGAGTATGTAGCACCATTGGGCATTATATTGTGTATGTTCATTGTTTCATTGCCTACCCACAGAATTAAAATATAACCTTCCTGAAACAGGGATTTTGTTTTGTTCACTAGAACTAAGAATCCATAATATACCCTGGTATATAGAAGATGTTCCATAAGTCACTTTTGCTTTCTTTTCCATACATTTAATTAGAACTTGGTTCAAAATTCTCTGTCAGTGATTGAATAATCTATTTTACAGATTTAACATCTTTACATCTTAGTTTTCTAGTCTGTAAAATAAAGACACTATGCCTAGTACATGGTGATTCGTGAGGAAGAAATGATTCGATAAATAGAAAAACCCTTAACATGGGTCCTGATACATCATCAACACTCAATAAACGGGTTGTGTCATTATAAATATCATTGTTACTATAAAATATTAACACGTCCCAGAACCATCACCACTATCACTGTCACCAAAACGCCTGGACCCACAGATGTCATCAACCTCAGAAGCTTGAAAGGCAAAGTTTAAACTCATCATGACACCAATGACTACTGCTAAGGCTCCCACCAAGGCAGCACCCAAGCAAAAGATTGTAAAGCCTGTGAAGGTGTCTACTCCCAGAGTTGGTGGAAAGCACTAATTTAGCAGATCAGATTTTACAATGAAGATCTAACTATAAAAAAATAAAAAACTCATCATGATACATTTATAAAAAAATAAATCTTATATTGAGGTAAACCACTACTGACATTTGTTTGGAGTATGCCATCAACTCTGAAAGTGAAAACAACAGAATCAAGCAGATACCGCAAATCTGAAAAAGCCTGCCTTTTTTCCAAGTGCATCTTCTGCAACATGAAAGAAGGCATGAGCACAATCTTTGCACGCAAATACTTCTGTAGAGAGTGTTCTTTGTTTTTTAACGCCAATAAATGAATTCCAGTTATTTCCTTAAGAGTTATCTATTGGTCCAAATCAATGATCAAAGAAGCCTTGACATTCATCAAAAAGTCAATGAAGCTAACTAATCCTCCACACTAACAAATAAAAATTAAAAAAAGAAAGGTGAGAGAGCGAGGCGTTTGTTTTTTGTTTTTGTTTTTGCTTTTGCTTTTGTTTTTGTTTTTGTTTTTGTTTTTTTTCCCCAGAACATTGAACTGAGACAATGTTGCTTCCATAGCCTCTATAAATTAATGGAAATAAGGTGCTTCACTCCCCAACCAGTTCTGCCGATTCAACATCAATCAAGCACAGGGGTTTCACACAGAAATCTACATTTTTGTCTACTTGGGGGAAAACCAGGAAATGTAATAGCAACACTAGTTTCGTTGCACTCCTGCACGGAAGCGGTACCTGGAGCCAGGCAGTGGCTCTCCCCTGTGGGTGCCACACACGCCTCTTGATGGACCATTCCATTCTATTCTCTGACAGCCAGTCGATTTCACTTGCTCACGACTCCTGAGTTGTCCCTGTAGATTTGAGTGTATGATGTGGCATCTAGGTAGCACCTCTATGCATATACTTCACCTGGCAGGAAACTGAAACTTAGGCAGCTTAATAATTTGAAAATAACTTCAATAAACAAAATGTTGCAGGGAAAAGGAAATCTGTCTTGAGTCATTGCTTTGGCACTTTGTAGCTGCAGTGGTCACATTTTATATGTCAAACTCAGCTGAGCCATTGTGGCTCTTCTGACCAACAGAGTCATCTGAAATGCACATGGAATAACTACTCAAGACACAGAGACTTGAGTCAAGAGGGAGAGGGAGAGGCCATACCACATAAGCACCCTCTAAGCCTCTCTCATCCTCTGTAAAGGAGGAAGGAAAGTTATTTTTTAGAGAAAGTTGTTTTTTAGGGAATCAGAAAAATAAGGAGATTTCCAGAACAGGTTGGT